TGACCTCAGGCTGCCTCCCCTGCAGGACAACAGCAGTGGATAGAAGCGATGAAACAGCAGCTCTGCCCCATGGACCTGATAAAATGTATTTTTTTATTTAAATTAACCTCCCAGGATCCCAAGGATCCAATGGGGTAATGAATACAACAGCATCTTATAAGCACGTAAGTGGCAGACCACCATTAGCACAGATCATTTTCCCAGGCTGACTGATCAGTTCAGGGATCATACTTGAGTATGGCAGTATTAAAACCACTCCTTAACCAAAATTGACCAGAATTTTCAAAGAAATCTCCAAAGACTTTCACAGCACCTGAGGCATGTAGCCAGGTTCTAGCTCAATTTGATTTGAGTCCAACGCTAAGGCACTGCCCCCTGACCACCAGCTTCTCCTGGATCCCACCAGAACCTGGATTCTTGCAGCTGCTTCTTTTTGGGAGGAAATACTAAGGAAGCATGTTCTTGTTGTTAACTCATGACCCTTGAATATAATGCTAACATAAACATAAGGAAAGTGAGCCAGTTTATCTTCAGGTGTTTCAATAAAATCAGGAGATAACGCTGAACTGTGATTTCAGAAGGAAGACGGCAGAAAAACTCACACACACCAAGCAGGTGCCAGGCTGCAGATCCCAAGCTGCCCTTTACCCAGGACATAACCCATATCCCCTGTCCTTCTGATGACAAGTATGATTATACACACACACACACACACACACACACACACACACAACACCACCACCACCACTCACCCTCTTAAAGATTAGGCTCCAAGGCTAAATAACCATTTCTGGTTACACAGCAGATAAGGAAAGTTAGTATTAAACAACCAGGTCTGTCTGGCTCCAAAGTTAGTGCTCTTTCCCCTCCACTAAGTTGCCAGGTGGCGCTGACTGGAAGCCGCAGGCACTGCCCCCAGAAGTGTCTGCATCTGCTTTATCAGGGGACCTAGTCCTCCACCACAGTCTCCCACTGGGTGGCCTAATGCCAGGATGACCAGTAACAAGAATTGTGCCAACCGCTCTCCCCTCTGAAGGCAGGTAGCAACCCTGAAAATAAGCCTTCTCCTCTTCCAGTCCTCCACCCAACCCCACTCCTGGAATATGCAGCGTTTGACAAGCTGTATGTGTGGTGACACAATCCAATAAAAATGAAACGAAGAAAACAACTTTATTGCTCACTACTTTCATCCCTTCCTTATTAAAATTGTGAACACTCTCGTTATTTCTCATACATGGCCTGCTTAGAAACTCATTTGACGGGGAAATGTGGCCCTGTGTGACTTGCATTTAAAACTGTCTGACTTGGTTTCAGCAGCCTGGGTGAAGAACCAGGGTGACAGGTCTGTGGGAAATTCTAAAGGGCTTCTCAATTTTTTTTAAGCCACTCTTTCTCACAATAGGTGGCCCGTGCCCTGAGGTATTACTTTTTAGGAAATAAAATATCTACCCAGGAACTATCTGAATTTTGCCAAGGGGAAAACAACTTTTCTAGTCGATAATATTATGTAATAATCTAAAAATGCACTTAGGATATAATGTCCAAAATAAAGCAGGATATAAAACTGTATGAATAGTATGATCTCAAGCCACTTTGAAAAGTTAGTCCCTAAGAAAAGGACTGCAATGTTAGTAGTAGTTACTTCTGATTGATGGAAATATGCATGCTTACTTCTTCTTTTCTAATTTTTAATAATAAGCATATATAGCTTTTTTAAAAATGAAAATCACTAAAAATATATATATTTTCCCAGAAAGAGACCTACATATGATTCAGTGTTTCCTTACCACTGAAAGCTTTATATAAACTTTGACTAATACCAGGCACAGAGATTGTCCACGAAAAGAAAGTTATCTGTCAATCTTGCTGATGAATATAGATACCAAAATCCTAAGAAAATATCAGCAAATCAAATCCATATATAAAAAACAATATACCTGAACCAGTAGAATTTACCTCAGAAATGAAGATTAGAAAATCTATCAGTGAAATCCACCACAAGATAAATTAAAATAGTAAAAATACGCATTGATATAAAGATAAAAAAGGCATATAATAAAAATTCAACATGTAAATCAAAACTTTAAAATAGACTTCCTGAAAAATGATAAATGAAGGAGAACTAATAAATAATCTTTAACGTGGGGGAAAGGGTAGGGGTTGGGAGGAGGGGGATAAAGAGGGAAAAATGGGAGATATCTGTAATACTATCAACAATAAAAAACATATTAAAAAGAATCTTTAGTAAAAACTTAGATATCAGATTTACAGTAATTTAGAAGCATTTCTACTAGTTTAAGGACAAGATGAGGATACCTACTATCACTAAATATTGTATTGACAGACTAGCCAATGCACTATGATAAGAAAAAGAAGTACCTAAGGATTGCAGAGGAAGACAGAAACTTACTTACAAGGTTACATGTTGCCTCCACAGAAAATCAAAAAGGAGATGGAGAAAGTATTAGTAAGAGCTTAGCAATACAATTATATTCAAGATCAAGATATACACTGTTTATTCTTTTTAAAGTTCTACTTGTTTGGGCCCAGTTACCAACATTCGTTTAGTAGAATACTGACTATTCCAAAGTCAAAACTGAAGAATAATAAATAAATTAATCCTGTTACCAGCATATTCTCTCTCTTATTTTAATGTATAAATGTGTTTTCATGGTGCTTGGATCAAACACATTATCAAGAATAAAGATTTATTTCTGTTACATAATTACAAACAATTTTTAGCTCTTGCTCTGGGACAAATAATGTATTATACACTTCTTAAGATCCCTTTGGCTCTACAATGGGATAAGAGAAAACAATGTAAGATGAGGATGAGGATGAACGTAGAGAAGACAAAGAGGAGGAGATGGGTATAAATGGAATAAGTGAAATAGAGAAAAGAAGTGAGAGAAGGAAAATGAAGAAAGATGATAGAAGAGGAAGGGGATGGGAAGCAGTAGGGCAAGAATGAGGAGGAGAAAGGGGGAGGAAAAGGAGGAACAAAGCTAAACTTCCTTGAGCTTTTAATATATGCCAAGTCCTATACTGAGTGTTTTATTTGCTTTATTTCAATTAATATTCATGGTGAGCCTTTGAGGTCTGCAATATTATATTTTCATTTTATAGGAGAGAAAACTGAGGCTAATATTCTAAAGTTACATAGTTAGGAAATGGTATAGCCAGAATTTGACCCAGATCGACCTGCCCAGACTCTGTGGGATTAGCCACTCACTAGAGAATACTCCTTGCATATGTATTGTGCTGGTTTTAGGGCTTATTAGGATATGAAGATGAGGAGGAGATAAAAAGGTCACCTTCACACTCTCCTTCCAAATCCTCCACTAAGCCAATGTTCTGAAAACCTGAATCCTCTCTTTAGAATACTTCTGGGTTTGCAATGTTAAAATTAAGAATGAAAAGATGTGCACTAAGATATAATTTTTAATGTATTAAGCATTCAAGAGCACAAGTTTAGAGGAAGGTTAAATTTGAAGCAAAAATATAACCTGTCAGTTTCCACTGAAAAAGGATTTAAATTCTAGTACATAACAGATTCTGCAATTTTTTTCCTATGTAGCAGTTCTCCCAAGACCTGTATTCTCACCCACTTGCTTTTCGTCTATTATGCTTAGGCCACAATGCATAAAGAACAAGGTTTACATTAAGTTTTGGAGAATAAAATAGGCTGCTTCCAAAATATTTGTGTTTCCAATAATCATCCAAAGTATAATGTATAGTCCTCCCTGGGGTGTTGGCTGTCTGAAAGCTGCATATGTATTACATGTATGTCCCTGTTTCCAGAGTGTCAGACAAGTGCCATCACCAACATGACAGGGCAGGCACAGCACAATCCCAAACAAATCACTGCCTCACAGAGCAACCAGAGGCATCCGGGTTTGCAAGCTGATATTGACAGATCTCAAGACCTGAAAGAGAGCTCTATTAATCCTCCTTCATGCAGCGGAGAAGATGGGGGAGGAAAGAGATGAAACCACGGGGAGAAACACACACACACACACACACACACACAGCTCGCAAGAAGTTGCTGGCATCCAATTACAACAGGGAGACACATTTCCTGAAAGGGACAGTTGTAAAGCGATAGGACCCAAATCTTCAGAAAACATCAAAAGGGATAGATTTATTCTATCATCACACTAGCACACCGGTCTTCATTCCCAGGAGGCTATGTGTCTACCCTGTGTCAGCACTTCCGAAGTGTTGGGAGTGAAAGGGTGAACAAGAGGTCCAGGTCTGAAGGGGTGTATGATAGAGTTGACAAACAAAAACACAGGACATTTTTAATAAATTGAGATAGTAACAAAGTGCCACTGAAGCAAAACAAATGAGCAACTGCCCCAATTCAGGGAGTAAGGAAAGCCCTACATTTCCTAGGGGTCCCACTAAGCTCAAACCTGAACAACAAGGAGGAGTCCTTTTGGAAAAAAGAGGAGCGTGATTTCAGGCTGGAATAATAAGAGTACAATGACTCTCAAAGTCTGGTCTCTGAACCAATGGCAATAGCATCATATGGGAACTTGTCATAAATGCAAAGTTTTGGACCCCATCTTAGACCTGGGGAACCAAAACCTGGGGATGAGCCTTGGCCACCTGTGCTTTCACCATCCTTCCAGGTGCTGCTGGTGCTGCTGGCCTGAGAACCACTTATGTATGCAAAGGTGAACCACAGAGGACAGAATGCCTGGAGGATAAACAGGGTTAAAGCAGGGGTGGGGGGCGCTTAGGAAAATATTGCTGGAGAGATGGGAAGAAGGTACATCAGGAAGGGTAGTATATGTCATGAAAAAAATTTTAGATTTTACCCAGAGAATAATGAAGACCCATTAAAATATATTATGAGTACAAAAATATCCAATCATGCCGGTGACTCTAATACATATATATATATATATTTACAAAGATAGAAGATATATCATTACAGAGATAAAAACTCATTCCGATACAGACAAGCAGCTACAAAGGAACACATTCACCCCTACCTTTCTTTCTGGAGTCTTTCTTGGCGCTGGTTTTCACAGCTACTTGAAGTTCTGTCTCAGTTGACATCCTACTAAATCCTTAGTCCACTGCACACAGATCCAGGGCCTCGGCCAGGCTCATGGGGGACTCCTCTCCCAGAGAAGCACGCCTCCCTTCAGAAATGACGCCCCGAGCTGCACATGTCATTCACTCCTTCCGAGTGCTGCAAATCAAGGGAAGAGAATGATCAAGGTGGTCATTCAGAATAGTCACCCCTTTGACGTTAAACAGAAATTAGGGGGGGAAACAGTCATTAAAAAAAAACACAGAAAATCTTGGCCTCCTTGTACAAACTGCTCACATGATTTCCCCAAGCCATGGACAGGGCTTACAGCAAAGGGAATGAGAGGCCTATATGCAAAACTCAAAACCATTTCTCAAACCAGGTAACTCAAAATAGGTCTTCGGAACTCTGGATTTTCAAAGAAGGGCAAACCCAAATCTTTGTTTTCCATGTTTCTTATTTTCAAGCAGTGGATGTCACCCAGAAAAACACAGCAAAGGCTTATTTCCTGAGCAGCCCGTGCAGATGTTCCCAACAATGGGGCGCCCATCCATCAGCCAAGCTTGATCAGAGCCTTGGCAGCTAAAGCAGATCATAGGAAAGTGGCCTGGGTCTGCCCCTCACTGGCAGGCAGCAGGCGGGACATGGAGTTGACATACAATTGGGCTCCAAGAGTAAGGTGACAAATGGGACTGAGAAACTTTCAGCAAGCCAATTTGTATGTCAGCTTGTCCCCCAGCTATAAGAGCAGACAAGCATTTAATGTGGGGAGAAAAAAAAGCAGGCAGACACACATTTCATTCATTCTTTCTCTAATAAAGTATGCATTGCACAGTGCTCGGGAGTATTAAGTTCAGACACTGTGCTGGGAAGAGAAAACAGTGATAATACAACCACTTCAATTACAGCTAGTATTTACGATGCACTTACTATATACTATGCCCTCAGTTACTGCTTCACATACATTATCTCATTTGATTTCATTACACTGAATGAATGTATTCCCTGTGTCAAGTCAGCAGTCTTTCCCAATGACTACCTATCTGATAGTTACATCTGAGAGTTTAGTGGAAAATAAACATTTCACTAGTTATCCATGTTTAAATAATATTAAGATAATATTTAAATAATACTAGAGCTGGAGCTACCAAGACTCTGACCAAGTTAGGCTGATCAGGCTACTAGAAATGGACCTTTAACTGTGTAGTCAGCCAATGCTTAGCTCACCCACAGATCTAGAACAGTGTAATCTAACAAGGCTGACCTTAAATGCCAGTTTCAGCTCAAAATGGATAATGAACCAACCTTCTTACTCAGGACAACTAAAGATGGCTTAACTAGAAAGTCTAACATAAAAGCCACATGAAATTATAGTAATGCTTAAATTGAGGGAAATTTCCACCTTATCCAAAGATATCTGGTTAGGTGTTGTTTTTCTTTTAAGTTTTTTTTTTCTTTATTGACTTCAGAGAGGAAGGGAGAGGGAGCGAGAGATAGGAACATCATTAATGAGAGAGAATCAATGATCCGCTGCCTCATGCACTCCCCACGCTGGGGATCGAGCCCTTAACCCAGGCATGTGCCCTGACCGGGAATAGAACACTTACCTCCTGGTTCATAGGTTGATGCTCAACCACTGAGCAACACCGGCTGGGCTGGTTAGTTTGTTTTTAACAAGCTATTTTTCAAAAGGACACTAGCCCTGAATGAAAGGAACCTGAACTAGAGGATCTAAGGTTACAAGAAAGGAAAATGAAAAATGGTCTTCCTGGAATGGGGTCCATAAAATTATTCATAGAAAAATGGGAACTTTTCTGCCATTGCTGTGCCATCTATCTGCACCATGCCACTCACCCAGTGATGGCGAACCTTTTGAGCTCGGCGTGTCAGCATTTTGAAAAACCCTAACTTTGGTGCCGTGTCACATATAGAAATTTTTTGATATTTGCAACCATAATAAAACAAAGACTTATATTTTTGATATTTATTTTATATATTTAAATGCCATTTAACAAAGAAAAATCAACCAAAAAATGAGTTTGCGTGTCACCTCTGACACGCGTGTCATAGGTTCGCCATCACTGCACTCACCTAACCTCTCCCCTCCCCCAAAAGACAACATTCCATGAGAGATGACATAGTCACAAACTCAGCTATATATGGACATACTTTTATTTATAATATTTATTTTGTAATAACAAATATGTACTGAGAACCTACTGTGGGCCAGGTGAAAATCCTGGCTCCTTCCTGTCAACAAACATTTCCTGTGTAACCATGCTGACCAAGAGTACAGAGACAAAGCCTGACTCCTGTCCTCAAAGAAGCTCAGCCTAGAAGAGGTGTGGTCATGTAAAGGACTGCAATACACATGGCCAGAACTAAAACCGACATATACCCAGCATGCTGGGGCACACAGGATCAACGATTCACCTCTTCTCAGAAGTGTCAATGAAGTTTCACAGAGGAGAAGCCTATCCTGTGAGATCCTGAAGAATGATACTTCAGTCCACTGGGTGATAAGGGAGAAGGCGAATGGGCACTCAATAAATGCATGTATAATAAAGGAATGAATGGCTGTTTCAGGCAGAAGGACCAGAATGTGCAAGGAGGCTTGAAATTGACAACCAAAGTAATAAAAGGAAGCGTAAGTCTAGTAGGGAGGTGATGATATCCGATCCCATCTCCCCAATTTTCCCTTGTGTTACCTTTCCATAGAATCTTTCTTTTCAATCTGCCTTGATAATCCATTGATCCCCTCAAGCCTCAGTTCAAAGAAATATCTCAGGCAGAAAGATTTTTCTGATCCCTCTATTCAATGGAATCTCTCCTTATGTGTTTTATGATCTGATGTTTGGCCAGCTTCATCGTTTGAGCCACATACAAGCAATGGAATACTGAGGAAGTTCTCAACCTTTCTTTGCCTCAGTTTATCTACCTCTATAGTGGAGATGACAATATCAATTTCATAAGGCTGCTATGAAAATTTAAGTGTGATCATATGTGTAACATGCTTAAAAGAATGCCTAGAACATTAGCTGGCAAGTACTTGGTAAATATTAGGCACTAATACGGGTGTCCCAAAAAATGTATACACACTTTGAATAATTATAAAGGCAGTGTTTATTAAAATACATTTCATTTTCAAAATGTAATAGAATCTACAGACATAGTGTGCATGCATTTTTTTTGGAGGGGGACACCCTATAGTTTCCTATATTAATTGCTCAAGGTCACATGGCTGGTATGTGACCACAAGCCCATATTATTATTATCTTCCTTTTACAGAAGAGTAAACTCAAACAGTTTAAATTCACTTTCTAAGAAATGATAGACTCTAAGATATTCCCATCATGCTAGTTTTGCACACACCTAATCCCAAAATACAAAAATGAGATGAAATATATGGATTTTACACGATTTCAAGAAGGGAAAAACCCAACTTTTTGTTTCCTATGTTTTTTATTTTGATGTACTAGATGCCACCCAAAAAATACAGCAAAGGCATATTTCCTGAGCAGCCCCGTGGAGAAATTTCCAACAGTGGGGCATTCATCCATCAGCCAAGGTTGATCAGAGCCTTCAAGTCGATGCATGAACTACATTGGATTTGGACCCTTTCCTTCCCTTCAACTTTATAAGCCATAATACAGTACCTGTCCCTATTCTGTGGGTCTCTCCAGCGCCACTTGTTCCACCAAATGTGATTGCGTTCAAGTGTTATAAGCATTACTTGTGATTTTCTGAAGTATATCCTTATATCAATAATGAAAGGAAACCAGCATCATTTTGAATAAAAACTTCAATAAAGAAGCTGCGATACAGAGAGAAGGTACTATGGCTGAGACCCTGGCCTCCCCTTTTAATTTTCCAAAAGCCAGAGGTTGAGCAAAGGCTGTGAAGTAACTCCAAATTATTTAGGAAACTCATTTCTTTGTAATTAAGGAGATTAAAGTCCTCTAGGGCCAGAAACCATGTGACAACTCAAATCATTTTTCCCAGCAAAAGCTGTGAAACCCTATCAGTGAAACTCAGGCTGGCCAAGAATTTAAAATGCTTCAATAATGTTTCTTTGCCCCACACAATCTGCGGTAATTTAATATTCCTGAAGTGTGTCAGGTTTTTATAATGAGCTCTTCAACTCTAAATGTGAATTATGTAATATTCCACTACAGACATTTCGTCTAGTGAACTGCTGCGAAATGTAAAACCTCATGTTCAGTGACTGGGGGTGGGGACAACACCAAACCACAAGCAGAGAAAACAGATAAGATTTTTTAAAAAATTACAACAAAGCACAAAGGTTTGAGCAGCTACAACAGAACCAACACATACTAGAACACCTACTGTAACACAAATCTGTGCACCACCCCACTCCTCATACGATTCTACAGTAAAATAGCTAATGTTTATGAGGGCCCACTATTTACCATGTACTATACTATCAATTTCTCATCTATTACCTTACTCAACCCTTCAATCACTTGAAAGTTAGATATTTTCTTCGTTTGACAGAGAAGGAAAGTGAGGCCAGTTTAGTAGCTTATCCATGGTCATATGACTAATAAGTATCACAGGGCAGGGTACAAGTCACTCTTGTCCCCAACTTCAATTAGCTGGTGAACAGATAAAAAATGTGGTGTATTCATACAATGGAACATTATTCAGCCACAACATGGCTTAATAATACTTTCTACAACATGGATAAACCTGAAAGAAGCATGCCAAGAGAAAGAAGTTAGACACAAAAGATCACACGTTTTATGATTACATTTATATGAAATATCCAAAATTGGTAAATCCAGTGACAGAAAGCAGGTCAGTGGTTGCCAGGCTCTGGGGGAATTGAGGGAAGGGCCAGTCATTGATTGCTGGTTACAGTGCCTCTTTTGGGGGTGATGGTTGCAAAAAAAATACCACTGTATTATACACATTAAAATGGTTAATTTTATGTTATGTGAATTTCACCTAAATATACAAAACAAAGAAAACCCTTCCCAGCCAGGTCCTACACCCTGATTTAAGCCTTATGTGATATGCTAATAGTACAAATTCCAGTCTAAAGGGACAACCCAGATTTACAAATCAGTCTTCCCAAAACCATGACTTTGGGTTTGAGTGGCAGCAATTGCATAGCTTATAAGGTGCATTATCATTAC